TATTTTGGAAGCAGCAAAAAATGGATAAATAAATAAAGGAAAAAGATAACACCGGCATGCTTTGCCAAATAGTCAATTACATTTTTTATTGATTAGGACTTCCTTTAGTTTACTTTCCATGATTTGCTTGTAGTAGATAAGTTTCATTTAGAATCATTTTTCTTAAATTCATAACTGTGTAACATCAAATAAACATAACTGTCTAGAAGTCCTGAGTTAAGTATGAAATTCCAATAAGTAGATTGTAAGCACAGATTTTCCATATTTTTGTAGCTATGCATTGGGTTTTATTTGTTATGCCATCTTAATCATGAAAATGGTAATTATCCATTGCATTTGGTTGCATATTTCATACAAAGATTCTTGGATTATGTGCTTCTATTGAACTTCCTATGCCGTAGAATTACCAAGTTATTTCTTCATGACAGGGAGCTTTATAGTAATAACATAACTGGGATAATCCCAGAGGAGCTTGGAAATTTGACAAACTTGGTGAGCTTGGATCTTTACTTGAATGGTTTAAACGGGCACATTCCAACTACTCTGGGCAAGCTTACAAAACTGCGTTTCCTGTACGAACACATTTTACATTTTTTATGTGGCTAATTTTTCTATTGTTTTTTTGATCTTGCTTTTTAATCATATGTGTTTTAGTATATCTGAAGAAGGCTTTTATGCAATGATATATTGCTAGCTGAATTGGAATGGTGTAATGGTATTATTATGAATATGTATTTGTTTTGTAATTTGGTAGATATAAGTATTTCCTCTTCTCTTCCATGTTTGTATGCAGAATGTTGGTTAGGAAATCGGAGATAGGATGTAAGCCTATGTGGGATGCTGAAACTTTGTTCATGTCTTTCAACGCTTCCCCCCCACTCAGAGAACATTTTAGCCATAGGGATAAGAGGAAGAAAAGGAAGAAGGGATCATTTAGTTTCACAACTTTAGAGTTCTCCAAGAACTTCTCAATATGCATCATTATAGAATTCTACTCTACTAAATGTAATGTGTGCGTGTGTGTAGCAGTGTAGGCATAGACTAGCTAATTGTAATTGTTGTTAGATTGGAAATAAGAACCTAGAACTACCCAATGACACTTTCCCTTGGACTGAGGACTTCTTGATTGTTGAAAAATTCATCAGTTTAGTTATCGGCTTCCAAAAGGAATAACTTTTATCTAATGAACTAACAGATGGGATAGTATGGTACCAAAGACTAGCTAAGGTCCAAGACACCAGATCCTTTCACTGTGGTTGTAGTTGTTAACTCCCAAGCTCTGTACTGTATTTCTTTCTTCTCTTCTTCACTCATGGTCTTGTTTGGACAGCAACAGACTGATTGGACATCAAGTGTAATACCCAAAGGGAGGAAACCATTGAGCTGAGTGAATTCTAAGTGATGACATTGTGATGATATGGGACATATAGATATGGTGTCCTTCTTGCAATAGGCTTTTTGTTTTCATATCTGTGCTAAGATTATACATAAGCATGATTATTTATCAGTTACATATCTAGTCATCTTATCAATGTGCAATATGATTGATGCTTTCTTTCTGTGGAACAGGCGTCTCAACAACAACAGCTTGTCAGGACAAATTCCTTGGTCCTTAACTAATGTTAACTCACTGCAAGTGCTGTGAGTGTTGCTGTCAGAATCGTTTTCCATGTTAGCTATTTAATTTAGCTTCAAGAACAATATATTAATGGTGTGCGATGTTATATTATGTGATGCAGGGATCTTTCGAACAATAAGCTAGTAGGAGATATTCCAGTTAATGGTTCCTTTTCATTATTCACTCCTATCAGGTTTGTTTTCTTATGCTATCTCATTTTCCTTTCACCCTCTCACTTCTGACTCCTGACCCTCACCACCACCCGTTGTTCCCATTTTTTCATCTTTACTACTCTGAGGCCAGTCTCTTAAATTGATGCGCTAATTGCTGCATCTCTTTTTCACAGTTTTGCTAATAATCTACTCAATAATCCTCCACCTGCTCCACCGCCTCCTATCTCACCTACGGCTCCAACTCCATCAGGTTGGTTCCTGATTTTATTAATTATTATCACTGTTAATAACTCTAAACTGTGCTTAACTTTGGGGCCTGCTTCTCTTTTATAATTGTTTATTCTTTTTCTGTAATATTCCTTGGAGATTTTCCTTGCATTTACAACTGTTTTAGTATCAGCACATATCTGTAACATACAACTAATTTCTGTAGGTCTGAGTATATTGCTGATCCTGAACTTTCTTACATCTGGGTTTGTTTTTTAAGAAGGTCCCATTGAGTTCATATTTAAAATCTGATGATGATGGTACCTAGGAAAGGCTTTAGCTTCTGTAGTGGACTAGAAAATTTTCCGTACCTTAGGTCCCCCAGCCCATAAGTTCTCTCTTTTGAAACATTTTCTGCTGCATTGGTGTTGGTACTAGCTGAGAATGTTAATGGTAATGAATATTCATGATAGAGATGTACTAACAGTATCTACATTTATCTAACTTCACACTGGCAGGTAATAGTGCCACTGGTGCTATTGCTGGAGGAGTTGCTGCTGGTGCTGCCCTGCTGTTTGCTGCTCCTGCAATTGTACTTGCTTGGTGGCGAAGAAGGAAACCACAAGATCATTTCTTTGATGTACCTGGTTAGTGATTTCTCAAAAGATAGTTTTAATTGCTATTATGCTGTTGTTGTGTGCAATGTATTCACTTTTTCTAATTTTCTTCATAGCTGAGGAGGACCCAGAAGTTCATTTGGGACAACTTAAAAGGTTTTCTTTGCGTGAACTACAAGTGGCAACGGACAATTTTGGCAACAAAAACATCCTGGGTAGAGGTGGTTTTGGTAAAGTTTATAAAGGTCGCTTGGCTGATGGTTCTCTAGTGGCAGTAAAAAGACTGAAAGAAGAGCGTACTCAAGGTGGAGAGCTGCAGTTCCAAACAGAGGTAGAAATGATAAGTATGGCTGTGCATCGGAATCTACTACGCCTCCGTGGCTTTTGCATGACCCCTACAGAACGGCTGCTAGTCTATCCCTTTATGGTTAATGGTAGTGTAGCATCCTGTTTAAGAGGTACTGGCTGTTGTCTCATTTATTTCTTTAGTAATATGTTTTCCTGTTTCTCCAATGCTGTCTGTATTATGTATGTTATATGTTTTATACATGTTCCTCGGGTTACCAATTTATGTGTGATGTCAATAATTTAACCATGTTTGAGCTTCAATTATCAATATCTGCTCTATTGCTTCTTCTGTCAATAATTAAACCATGTTGTCTTGTCTATTGCTTCTTCTGTTTGTGAAGAAAATTTTAACTATGATCACATATCCTAATTTTTGTTTTTAAACTTTGACTTATAAATTTATATGTTTGGTAAATGTGGATTGCCTTTAAATCCAAGTGGAATTTTGAGAAATTCATGGAACCCAAGTACTAACGATCTGATTGTTACATTCTCTAGAGCGTCCAGAGTCTAAAGCACCGCTTGATTGGGCTATAAGGAAACAGATTGCCTTGGGAGCTGCAAGGGGGCTTGCATATTTGCATGATCATTGTGACCCTAAGATTATACACCGTGATGTGAAGGCTGCAAATATATTGTTGGATGAGGAATTTGAAGCAGTTGTTGGAGACTTTGGGCTGGCCAAACTGATGGATTACAAAGATACTCATGTCACAACTGCTGTTCGTGGCACAATTGGTCATATAGCCCCTGAGTACCTATCAACTGGAAAGTCATCAGAGAAAACTGATGTTTTTGGGTATGGTGTTATGCTTCTTGAACTCATTACAGGACAGAGGGCTTTCGATCTTGCTCGGCTTGCAAATGATGATGATGTCATGTTGCTTGATTGGGTATGTACTGTCTTCCTATTATGCACGTCTCAATGGTGATGGATTTCAAAGTTTGAGTTCTGTCATTCTTGTCTAGTGTTGGAATTTTCCAGTTCTTGCTTCAATTGGTTGGCCAAAAGCAATAGGTTAAGTACAGTACAGTATAGCAGAACTACCATAATAGCAGAGTGGGGCTTATCTCTATTTACCTTTCAGGGTAAAATGGAAAAGCGGAAAACTAATAATAGTTGAAGTTTGACAATGTTTTCCCTAAAAGAAGAAAAATATAGACACAGTTGTTTAAATTTGATGATAGGGATGATCCATATCTTTTCTTTTAATTTGTTAGCATGCAAGATGGGTGGGTTCCTTGATCCTTTCTGTTCATTAATTTTGGGTATGTTATGAAGCATGTCTGAGAAGGCAACATTATTTTCAAATGAACTTGATTTAGAGCGAATGGTTTTTGGGAAGCCTATGTAATTACTTACTATAATCTTGACATTGATCTGTGCTGCATGAGTTTTGAATCCCACTAAGATTCGCATCTTTGTAAAATGCAATTATACTAAATTCAAATAAGCTATGCACCGGTGCAAATGGTTTTTGTTTTATGTTTTTTGCCCCTTAAACTTACTAGCAATGCACTGCTGAAATGTCAGGTAAAAGGGCTTCTGAAAGACAGGAGGTTGGAAACGCTGGTTGATGCTGATCTCCAGGGTAATTACATAGACGAAGAAGTGGAACAGCTAATCCAAGTGGCTCTTCTGTGCACTCAAGGCTCCCCAGTGGAACGGCCTAAGATGTCTGAAGTGGTCAGGATGCTGGAGGGCGATGGCTTGGCTGAAAGATGGGAAGAGTGGCAGAAAGAGGAAATGTTCCGCCAAGAGTTTAACCATATGCACCACCCAAATGCTAATTGGATTATTGCAGACTCCACTTCTCACATCCCTCCAGATGAATTGTCTGGTCCCAGATGACCCACTTCTGCAAATACAAGTCTTCAGGCAACTGGTTTTTTGTATGTTAGAGTCGCAGCAGCATTGTTAACATTTGTGCATATAGTTTTCTTTTTGTCTCTCTTTTTTTGGGGGCGCCATTTATCCTGTTGTGTAATTTATAATTACATGTTGTATGATGGACTTGTTTGCTGTAATTTTCATAGGGTTGGGAAACTGCAACCAAGAAACATTAGGTGCTAGAAAGAGGAACCACGCCAAGAAGGGCGATAGAAGCACCCTTGTTATTATCAGGTACTAAAACGTTAGTGAAGACTGTTACACGAATAAATACATAAATCGTTTACCCCGTAACCATTTTCTATTTTTATCTATCACTTTCCTGAAGAGGACCCCACATCTCTCTTCACATACCATGAGACTTATTACTTTTTAGTGTTGACTTGCACTCGAGTTTCTGATTGAAACTGGACCGTCGATTGGATAAACTGCCAATCATGTTAGAGAATAATGTCACTCGCTCACCTTCCATATGGAGCATTTCACCGGTTATTTTATTGCTCTCGATCATCCAAATTAAGTACACCTAAATTTTGGCACGTCATCTCTCCACATTCGGTTTTTACCATGTCCACCACCAAATGGAAAGGGCCTACGAACAGATGGCCAGCACTGCAAGGCTGCTCCAGAGCAATACGAGTTTTTAACTCAGTCACAACTCATAATACAAGGAAGAAATAAGTCGATGCAAGAGTAGAGGCACTCCCAAATCGTAAACCATGAACGAATATGGCGAGACCCAATGGGATAGGATTGGATTGAATTGAATTGAGTTATATCAACCAACACCCCCTAACTAGCCAGGTTTTCTTTCTCTTTTTAACTCTCTAGTTTGGGGGTAAGAACAAGACCCTACGCGGAGAACACTTTGACTAATTATATTAACTCAACTCCTACCTTGACCTCATCTAACAGTTGAATTTGGATCTCCCAAGTTCTCAAAAGATTTTAATATAATATTTTCAACATCTGGGCAGATGGCATCTGGTTAACTGCCGGTGAAATACCGGGGGAAAAGTATGAAGTATGTAGCACCTTATCTGCACAGGGATCTACAACTCAGTTCATGCGGATCAAATACGCGATTCAAAGATCTACCTAGAACGAATCCCGTCTTTTCCTTAACTAAGCTCTATGCTGGCAACAAGGATCTATCCTAATTTCTTACCTTTACTAGTGTGGATAACAGTAATTAATGTTTTATGTACAGGCAAAACAACTTTGAATGGCTGTTTTCTTCAGCTTCACTTTCTACCGCTAGTCCCGACCCGAGGCTTGCTTTTAACCTCAGATTCCTGCATACCACAATGCATGCAAGGATACATTAAATAGCAAGCAAAACATGGAGGCTTCACTAATTAAAAACACAAGAGACAAAGTCTATACACCTGTGGCAGATGGAGGAAAATGTATGTCTTTGCTGTTGCAGGATTATGATTCTCTGCACCCTTACTCCAGTCATAGCACACCTGTCAAAGTAAGTTTCAAAAAATATATTAGTCTAGAAATTCAAATTGAAAACAATGCAAGGGATTTTTATCAGGCATGAGCGAAGGGATGATCTAGATTTTCTGAAGCCCATTCAAACAGATAGCAGTTAAAAACAGACTATCACAAATACTTCATAGATTTTTTATTTCAGAAATCTATCTATAAATTTAGCACAATACTTCATGTACTTCAATTTAGACCCACTTCTTTCTTAACCCATGATCTTCTATGCATAGTTCATAATATATTAAACAACCTACTATTGTTAAATCTTTGAACCATTGGACAGAAAACTGGGCTTCTTTGTTTTTGTTTTTTACCCTTTTTGCCCATTGCAATGCATAATTTATCTTAAATGGTTTCCTGAAATCTGTTTCAAATCCAGATCCTTATGGTTAGTTGTGTACACCTTGATCGTACAGCTGAAACAACTCGTTCTCCTTTCAATGCGATGCAAACGCGCATGATTTATTCATGCAGAGGAGCTGTGCAGACACCTTAATGATTTAGGATCGTCATGTCATGCAAGTGTTTTATGTGAAGATAGTCACCCTCTGGTTTTGCACGGAAGTAAAGGACGGTAAGCACTCTTTTATCCATGCAATAAACACAATAACCCCTGATGTATCTAACATGCAATAATCACAATACAGTCATTCACCTACATACAAAAGATCCTTCCTGTAAGATAATAAAATACCATCTATATGAGCATGGGGAGAGATGGAGTGCAATGGAGATCAACTAATCAAGCAAAATCAGCGTAGCTTTCAAATACATGAATGAGAAATACCGAGTACGCAAATATGGAGCCATCACTGTTGAAAGTGCTGCAAGGAATTGGCTGACTACACCTGGACATGGCCTGGGATGAGATCAGGTAGAGTCAAAATTAGATAACTAGATTGTCAGCTTGATATGGGAGGTAAGAAACTTATAGCACAAGTTCTCAGCCAGAATTCTATTTTGCTCTCCGTTCTAAATTAGACGAGTCTTTATCAATCAGAGGACTTGAATTTAATGCACTTGAAGTAACCACAATGGGATTCAAATTTAAGGATATATATATTTGGATGATTTTGATAAGTACAGTCACCTCCACAAAGACAGTTTACATAAGTGTGTATGTGCACGTCTATATACATTACATACATGTCGCAAATCTCAATGAGATGAAACAGCTAATGCAATGGGCCTAGTGGCACACAAAAAGTGTCACAAGCCTTTAAAGATGATCTTTCAAGTGCATTGCGACACTCCTAAAAATGGGAAAATGTGAAGACATATACCTTCAAAACTGGCTTACCACTTGAAAAAAGTACAGATGCAATTTTTTTCTAATAAAAGCAATATATATTAATCTTAATGTAATAAGATCCAACTGCACCAAATGTAGGATGCACCTTCAGTCTCTGTTTGCTATCCTTGTCCCAGAAATTGAAAGCTCCGTCAGAACCAGCAGTTGCAAAAGTGTGATGCACCTGAAATAAAGGGACACCTGAATAAGATCTTGAAATGTAATGAAAACAGTCTATAAGATATAATGAAATAAGATCAATTTAATCAATCAACCATAACCACTTAGGCAACAAAATCAGTGATACCTTTTAGTTGCCAACACATGAAAACACAAAAACTTCCAACAATCTACTGAGTGACATGTTAAAAAATGTAAATTAAGGAATATGATACAATATCAGTGAATAAACTTACAGGATGGAAATTTAGAGAGTTGACTGAGTATGTCTCACTGCCCTCTCTATGGCATTTAAAAGTAAAATTTTTGCTTTGTTGCTGATCATCCAAATGATGCACACCAACCCGTCCTTCTATTGATCCAACCTAAAGAGAACATGAAGGCAGATATCATTACCTTTTATTTGGCCTTATCCCTTCACATACAACATTTAGCAAACATGAAAAAAATGACAATGTCAGTTGGAAACCATCCCAACATAATATGATGGAAACTTATATTTTATGAACAATACTTTTAATAAAATTTAAGATGTTACATACAGCTTAAAAATAAAAGTAATGTGCAATAACAATCTTGCAGAATTAGGGGCAAATGAAGAATACAACATATTAAAGAGAATTGTATATAAACAAAGCCCAAAAAGAAGAAAGTATCGCTACGGTGCTATCATATAAAAGACATACTATTAGTCACTGAAAAAAGTAGCCAAATGCCTCAGAAAGTATAAGGTATATACATCCCTAAACAAGTTACCATTGTTCTACATAATTTTAGATGACCAAAAGAATGATAATGGCCTCTCCAGAAGTCTAGATGACATGTCCTGTAACATGCATTACCAATGCCAAATTGTTCAGGCCATAGAAAGCCATGGTACATTTGAACTTAATTTGAAAGGTGAAGTGTGAATAACCAGTCTCAAATTGCTCATCATTGATAAAAGATCAAAATCTCATGAAGGGTCATGGCATCCCAAAACTTCAGAGATGGCAGCCTCATTAATCCATGATACAACCAGTGGCATGCAGTATGTGCTAACTGGACCATATATGAAAACATGAGAAATCAAATACAATCCTCTGATGTCCGCAACAAGAGACAATTATATTAGAAATTAATTAACAAGAATGTAGGCATTAAGCTAAGGAGCTAGCACCAAAATAAGGTCTAAAATGGAGGTATCCATCAATCTAAATTATCCAATTTTGTCAAATATGCTTAGCTCATTTGCAGGCAAGACTTTTACTGAGATTTGGGCTGCATAAGAAAACGAAAAAGCTTGGAACCATATGTTGAAATCAAAGGCACCAAAGATAGGATGGCACCAATATAAAAACATGGGTTTTAATTCTTACCAAGAAGCCTTGGAGATCTGGGAAGGCAGCAACACACCTTGTTTGATATTTCAAGGGCGAAACAATTCTCTTGTACTCAGTCTGTACTTGAAAGGAAAAAAAAAAAAAACCTTAGGTTTAAAACATAAGGTAAAATAGAAGGTATAAAATGAAGAACCACGAATTTTGATGTTACCATTATGGGAGAAAAAGAAAGCAAATCATAAGTAACATGGTAATACTTTTGAGGTCCATAACATATCCAAAAGATACTAGGTGTTAAGTTGTGAAGACCCAAGCTTTCTATAGCACAGACAATACTACAGGTATCAATGGAGAGGCGATTCTGCATGTCACCGTGAAATTGATGACATGTTAACATCTATTATTCTGCAGATATGGCAGCTAGCTATTGGAGCCCCTTGATATAATGGCATTCTCTTTCTTTATTTCCAGTGCAGTGACAATGACAAAAAAGAAATAGTCACTGTAATTAACTTTGCTACAACATAAAATACTTGTACAGAGCGTAAAGAATAAACTGAAATGTGTAGAACTTCATAAATAACAGAACCTTACCTGTGGGTTCTGCAAGTTGAAGACAATCAAGTTTCTATCTGCAGTACCAACAACCATCAGAGGATGTTTCACTGTAAGTGCATAGCAGCGCTCAGGGAGTTGTTGAACATGTACCGGATTTGACTGCCTTGTATCCCAATACCTAAATTTGTGGGAAATGTCTGTCAACTATAAGGCAAGGAAATTGGCAATGGATTTTATAGATAATGACAAGATTAGTGTGTGGCTGTCATGAACACCCATATATCAGCATAGAAATAGGCCACCATAAGTGATAACAGAGTTTAAGAGGAAATCATCATTCATTAATAAACAAATGGAAGTCTGTCTGTCAGTAGTATATAAACAATTAATTCTTATAGATACGCAATATTTGACTGACTTCAACGTTTTGTCCCAGCTTCCTGTGACTAATAGGCTCATCTCAGGGATCCAAGCCATTTCACTGATGGGTGCATCATGCACGGCCACAGTCATTGGTTGCCCACCAGACATCAATGGCCACATTTTCACTTGCTTGTCACATCCACCAGAAAACACAGTCATTCCATCATCTTTCCAAGTTGAGCATAAAACCTGTGTATAGAAAAAGTAAAAAAGAGATAAAAAAAATTAAGTCATAATAATAAAAACTAAAAACAAAAGGAAAAAAGCTTAACATAATTGCTCATTCATTTAGCAGTTAGGGACCTAAAGATGAAAAATGCAAAACAAAAGTGCAACATCAAGGAAGCTTAGAAGCGAAGTTCAAATGTCCTCTTAAGTCTTACTGACTTGACTATTAAGAATAACAATATTAAATAAAATCAAAGAATAGTTATTACCGGCTGGTCATGCATTATTGATGCCTTAGGCATGCTGGCAACATTTACTCCATTTCGCATTATTTCCCAACATCTCACCTATAAATATTATATAAAAAAATATGTTAGCATTTTTAACTGATATTAACTACCAAACAGAAATTTGAGGAAAAGGAAGCATGTGCTCACGAAAAAATCTAAATGCATAACCCTAATATTTCACCATCAAATTAGTTCAAAACTGTTTTGTTTGGATGGCAAGAAAATTCGAGTACATGTAAAGAAAGCTAAACAAGATAATTCGTTTACACACTCCATGCAGCTTTTCGGTTCTCCAAATACAAAAATTAGCAACAATGCCAGACGCAAGTTACACCCTAACAACTTTCTACGTTCACCTATTTTTCCGTTATTTTCTTAGTAGCCAAACAGAGTTTAAAATAATAATAACATATGCTGACGTGGACGTTATACATACCTGGCTATCCCAAGAAGTTGCCACGAGAAAATTAGCCTTAGGACTGAAACTGAGGCTTGAAACAGAGTCATTAGGAGGTTCGGAAACCTAATGTAACAGTAATTAAGGAAATCAAATAAACAAAGATTAAAAGTTATCTCTCTTTGATTACTGATCAAACAAGGGAAATTTGTAGTCGTAAAAAGAAAAAAAAAAGATATATTCTTAAAACAGAAAATCTACCTCGAAAGACTTGTTTGGATTTGGATTTCCGAGCGTCGTCGCTGTCAAGAAATTCGACATTTGAGCGAAGCTTTTTTCCTTTCTAACCAAGATTATGCTACAAGTTAAAAGCGAAATAAAGAAAAAGCGAGAGAGAGAATTTGAACAGAACGGAGAAAGGGAAGACGGACAAAAAAAGGGGCTCTCTGATGGAAGGTTTTGATTTCAAAGAGAGGGAAACGGAAAAGGGCGGGCGGAGCTCTATATCTCGAGAGCTCAACACTGTCTCAGTCTGTGTAGCGTTGAGTGAACGCAACAGGTAAACAACGGTTGACACGTGGCCGATGTCGATAGGACTACCTGGATGTAATAAAGCTGGGGAAAAGTGCGAGTTACCTCTATATAACTTCCGACTTTTTACTTTTTAACCATACACATTTTCGGTTAATATAATTTTGACTCTCGAACTTTCAAACTTCAGTTTGTAATAAAAATATTCTGTAATTTCAAGTTGATCCATTTCAGAAAACAAAATTTCAATTTCATCCCTCCAAGTTCAGAGGCTTTAACGCTGTACCATAATCTTGATTCGATTTTAACCCTATTACCTGTCTCGAGTTCAGCAGCACCCCTCTCCATATATCAACCTAAAATATTTTCCATTTAAAATTCTCCAAATATGTAGTAGTACTATCTTTTTCATATTTAAAATAAAATTTTTACATGTTTAGATCAATTAATTATTGATTACTCATTGATTCTTAATGTATTCTTACTCAAAGCCAACATTATGTGAAATATCACAATTCTGTTCTCTTTTAAGACATGAAATGAACTACCAGGATAAAGTCCAAAATTCGATTATTTTCTTTATTAATATTTTGATAGTGGTTTGCATCATTTTTTCTGTAAATTATTGATAATAAACTTATTTATATTTTTATTTTAAATAAGAGATACATACACCTGAATCCAATTTTTGGGTGCAAACTTATATATTTTTATAGATTAGTATGCTTTATCCTGTCTCTTATTTATTTATTTCATTTTCTTTCCCATCGTGAATATATTTGGATTGGCAGTGGCCATACCAAACTTAATCCACAAGCCTACATGTTCGAATAATGCCAAAATAATAAAAAGGCAGTGACTTAGGCAGAGCCCAATTTGATTCATGGGCCTCGAAACCCAATAATCATATGTATTTATTATTATTAAAGAATCTCTATATTGGGAAAGCACATGTATTTGAAGATTGGTCTATTGAGTATATGGTTTGGTTTAGACAAAGAAAATTAATCCTTATATGTCTTTGTTTTTCCTTTTCTTTTCCCTGTTTCTGCTGAAATACACTCTTTTTTAATTAATTAATTAATATGCATATATATATATTAATAAGTGTATGTATTTATATAATAAATTTTTTTTTTTTGCAAGTGTGAAGCTAAAGAAAGGTTGTTAAGAAATATAAAATTGGAGGTTGTTAAGCTTTATGATCAACGTAACTAAGTAAATATAAACTATCTGAACATTTATGGGAATTAAAAGCACTTTTTAATAGCAGAGCTGATTTAATTTATTATATTACAATTTACAACAGTTGTTAAATACAAGTAGACAATTAGGAGTGATACACTAGTAGACCAGGAAGATTTAATTGATAAATTAAGCCAATAATTGAGTCAATTGTTTTTTAAGAATGAAAAGAATTTGTCAAATTTCATAAAATACTAACTCATTAATTTAGAGCAAAAATATATTAAATCAATTTTTTTCCTTCTTTTCAAGCCACTTCTTATAAAAAAATGCAGGCTGCCAATCAATTTGGCAAAAAATTTTTAAAAATTTCTTTTACTTTTAATTACTAATTTTTAAATTATTTTTTATGAGAAAGAAATTAGAGTAAAATAATATTATAATCCTAGCAATTGTTAATTCACATTTTTGCACGAAAAAGCTGATGACAAGTTGACATGGTCATCTATTTAAAACCGTAGATAGACAATTAATGATTTTAATAGATTCCTATGTCTCAGCAACCGAGGACTGTCCACGACTGTAATGAGCCTTGCCATTTATGGTTTTTAAATGCAAATAAATAATTTGAAATTAGAGAAAAAAATGTCAAAATAATTTAAAATAAAATAAAATACAGGCAAAAGATTGAAGATGAGTTTTTTTTTTAAAAAAATGGGTTAAATAGCGTTTCTGACAATAAATTTTTTTATAATTTTAATTATTTTTAACTAAGAGAATTAAAATTTAGATAAAATTACTTTTAATGAAATCGACCTATTTATTTGGTTCTGTGCTTCAACCCAAAACCTATTAATAAGTTAAGTATGTTTAAATCTGCATCTCAAGTCAACTCATTTTTTTTATCTTTTTTCGTTAGACTATTCATCTTTTGAGTATTTTTTATCAGAAAGAAAAACGTTTAAGTATTTTAAATATTTTGAAGTAGTTTTTTATATATGAAAAAAACTTTTAAGCATTTTGAGCATTTTTAAGCATTTTAAAATGACTTTTGATATATGAAGAAAAACTTTTGAATATTTTAGCATTCTTTGTTAAGTAGGTATATTCATTAATTATGTTGTAAAATATAATATGGTGTATCATTTGAAATTGTTGATATTGTTAAATGTAATTCAGTAATTCTAATGGTTTTTAGGCATTGCGTGACTAGTTTTTAAGTATTGAGTGACTTACTTTTTACATTGCATGACTGATTTTGGGCATTGCGTAACTTGTATTGCGTGATTTGTTAGTAAGTCATTGTGTGACTAATTAGTAAGGCATTACTTAAAAATCAATCACGTAATGTCTAAAAACTAATCACGCAATACTTATAACCAATTACATAATATCTAAAAATCAATCACGCGGTAATTAAGTCATGCAATACTTAAAAATCAGTCTCATAATACTTAAAATATAATATAATCAATTTCAATTCTTTAACTTTGGGGTTCTATGGTTCTATGAATAAATCAATAAACTCAAGAAGGTAAAACACATACTTTCTTTTTGGTAAGCCATGAAATTATGCATTTCATAAAAAATAGGTTACAAAACTCCATAATTCTCCAAAATAAGACAAAATATATCTCTATCAGGAGGTCTTTGCTCACTTCCCTTATACAAAAATAAAATATATTCTTTTTATAAAATATTTCTTGAATAATTTCAACTCAAAATTTCAAATAAATATGCTTAACAATCATCTTAATCTTGGACACAATAAAATCATGAATCACCATAAAACCCCTCAAACATGTTTTAACTGTCTCTTCTCCCTGAGCCCATCATCTTACTCAATTTGATTCAACTCATCAATATAAACATTTTTATTGAAACACACATTTCGAAATAAGTCACCAGAAAATATTTAGTTACCACATTTATCATACTGTCTTCAATCATCATAAAAGAACAAAATCGTTGTTTATCACTCTTAAAAATTCTAAGATCCACTATCTAAAAAAAATAAAATAAAATAAAAAATAATTTTATATAATTTTTACTTTTTGAATAATGAGATAGACAGTATTTGATTAAAAAAAAAAATTTAGATTTAATTTTAAAATTTTTATTTGAACGACGAAATAGAAAAAGTAAAAATTATTTTAATTATTTGAAATTATTTAAACAGTATTATTATCAAATTATATCAAAAATTAATTAAAAATAATTAAAATTATAAAAAAAATTAAATTGAACTTATGTTATTTCTCAAAATTTTCTCGTTAAAAGATTGTATCGTTAATACAAACTCAACGAGCCTCTCTCGATCCACTCCGATCTCTGGTTTAGCTTCACTCGTTACCAGCCCAGATATTAAAAGGGAAAGGTGTTCTTCTTTTGAGGGGAAAAATGGAAAGAAGAAAAGGCGCGGTGAGGGTGACCCGCATCAGAATGCCTTCCATGTCCAGACCCGACAAGAACCCAAAGAGTGAAAAATTATTTGTGAGATCAAACCCGACAAGAATCCGACTCTTTTGTTTTATTTTATTTTCCAAGAACCCACTTTGGAAATTTGAAAAATCATGGCCTTAGCTCGAACGACAGCTTCACCTTTTTATGGAAGATTGATTATTTGGGGTTGGAAAGTGGAAGATGATTACAAAACATGGAGGGAAAAAACACTGAGAACGCGGGTGAAATGTCTCTATCTTATGTTTTTCCTTGTCTTTTTGCCCAATGCTTTCCAGGTTTACAATTTACTGTGTTAGGTGCTAAGTTGTTTTCGTTTTTCCTTATCATTATTTCCCCCGTCGAACCATTTTTGTTCCTTTCTTGTATTTTTTGACTATTCCATCTTTCTTTCTTGATTTGTTTGATTCAGTTTTGTCCATTAAGAATTGCTTTGATTCAAATTAATATAAATAAAATCGAGAGGTCCAAAACCTATTGCTCTAAAACGTTCTTGGTTCTGGGGGTGTTCTTTGACTTGTCGTTTTTCCATGTTCTGTCAAATGCTAATTTAGTATTCTTCCATGTCAAGGACTATTAAGTTTCACAAATGTTAATGTCCAAAAATTAGATATTGGCATTCATTGTTTTTAGCGGGAGAAGGTAGGTCTTTACTCATTCTTTTCTTGCAAAGACTATTCATACAATAAGGATGTCATTTTCGATATAGTTTCGTTGTTATGCAGCTTAGCGTTTTAATATAAATATTATGGGGTTGATCGTATTTATGGAAGTCAAAATGGCTTTGTTTTCCAACAATAGTTTGGGTGGACTTTAAATTGCATTTGAATATGTTGACATTTTTAGTCAGGATTCTTTGTTTTGTGGCATATGATGATTGGTTTGTTTGAAGTTTCTCGGAATTTGTTATGTGCTATGCAAGAATCTTCTTTCAAGAAATTAGTATTTTAACTTTTGGAGAACTTATGAAGTTTAGATTGGAATTTTTCAACATGGAATGAACTTTGTGGTTCCTAGTGGAGATTCGTAGAATTTTACATCTCAAGTAAATAGTGGGAGCAGATACGCAGTTTTATTTTAATGACAAGGCACTTTTAAGTCAAGGTTTTTTATGGCACATGCATATATGTGATGCAAGACCTGACGGAGGAAATGCTCGCTTGACTTATCAAAGAGGATAAAGAACCCTTATCTGTTATGTAGTCAATCCTTGTAGTAAGAATTTAGGTTATGCTACTTTAACAAACAAGTGGAGATATAATTTTTCCAGCATGTGGCAAAGCAATCAAGTTCTAAAGGTCCAGTGTTTTCAAGCCGCCCTTTGCATGTGATGTTTTAATGATCAATTCTATTGGCAGCTTTGTTGT